TGCTTAGGATCCCTAACTAATACCTAAGGAATCCCCCAGCACCCACCCATCCTCACATTATTATCGCCTCCAAATGAAGACCGAAACCCTGAGCGCTAATTGAATTAGTCTATTGAAAGGACTGTCAGGTACAATGACGTGGCTCGAGGCCCCACATTTCCCAAGGTCTATAGGCTTTGGGGACCTGAGATGTATAGTCTGACCTTCCGGCTCATAATAATACCGCGGCACTTGTAGCAGAAATCTCCTCGCATTCACTCCCAACAAAACCGCTGGTCACCCAGTCCCCGTAGGAAGGCTGCGCGCTATTGTGTTGCGACAACTCATTCATGTCCCGCACCACGAGGCCCCACCGCCATCTGATCTACACTCGAAATGCGATTACCACCGTGTGCAGGCAACACGCTCCTACTCCCAGCCCATCATGCACACATGTCTGGCCAGCCTGCAGGGTTTTCTTCCACAATTTTCCTCCTCCCCCTCAGAAGTGGAAGCGCACGGGACCAATATTTGTCTCTCCTTAAAGGAAATCCAAAAATCATGTGAAAACATAGGGTGGTGGGAGATTTCCTTTTCTGAGCAGAACACAGCAAAACTCTCAGCCAACGCATTTCTTACTGCTGACTCGTGCAGCTGACTTAGATGTACATGCTAATGTGCACATGTGAGGGTCTCCTGCCACATACAATTTTATACAGGCACACAGAAATGCTTTTATAGACTGGGTTTCTCTCCGGATGGCTCTCACACAAACAGACACTAATACAAGCCCCTGGGTCCCACAGCCCAAGACTGGGTCACTCCCCAAGATTTTGGGTTTTGCCAGATTGAGAAAGGGGAGGAAAAAGGTACAATTTGTCAGTGTCAACCCTAGAATACTCATTGGTCCTTCTATTTCATGATCCTTAAACTTCTCCAGCAGCACCCCCCTCCCCCAAAAAAAATTCATTCACACTATTCCCTTCTGTTTGGCCAGGTGTCTTGCTTACTGGAAGCTCCTGATTAGCCTCAAAATGGAGGTTGTCTAAGCTTGGAAAAGAGGCAGAGGGCTGGGGTCTCTCCCTATCCAATTTACTCCACTCTCTACCCCTGCAGGCCTCTTTGGGCTCCCCTTTTCCTTCAAGTTGGAAGAGATATTACTGAAGTTCCCCCTTTTGACATTTGAAACAAAACAATCTTTTTTTTTCTTCCTTGTCACTTTCCACTTTAGCTGGGTTGGATATGAAAAGTAAATTTGGAGACAATCAATCTATTGCAAGGACATGGCCCAGTCCTGGTGGTCTTCTGTGGGACTTCTCACTTAGGTAATTACAGCAGCACTGAACTGCAAGGCGATAGAAATGGAAACTGGGCTCAATGGCCAGCTTCCATACATTTGGCCCAGTAACCGATGGCATTTGGAGAAAGAGACTGCATTCCATTTTGGACAGGTTCCCTCACCTGTTTCCTGCAGACTCAACTCTTTACCATCCTGCTCTGAGCATCTAGCAAGTTGGAAGAAATTTCTTTACTGCCAAAGGCAGAAAAGAGTACCCTGGAAATGGCAACCACTGCAGTGTACCCATATGTGAACAAATACTTCACTGCACACCAAATCCCATACTAGTGCTGTCAACTCACCCTGCTCTATAGTTCCTCACTCACATGCCCAGTCCTCTGGACTCCTCACATATCCCTCTCAGCTAACATTTGCTTACTCAGCCAGATCACACCTCATCTGAAGCTTGCTAGGACTCCAATGTGCTCCTACAGAGTTCCCAGTAGTATGCTCAATTTCAGGAGAGAGAGGAGGGCCAAGGGCCTGGGTGGGGGTTGTGGAGAGCAGGCGGTGCGGAGCATAGAGCATCCGACCCAGGCTCGGCCTGGGGGAAGGTGGGGGGACAAGCCAGCGTGCTGTGGAGCGCCGCCTAATCCAGCCCGAGCTCGTGGGCCGCGGGTGCATTTATCATCCCATTACTGTAACAAATCCGGGCTCCACTACATGAAAGGTAAAATGAATTACCGACGTTAAGCCGTCAATAAAGTCATTTCTGTAAATGGTGTCTCCAAAGGGCCGCCGCATTATTCAGCTGGCTTTATCAGCTGGCTGGAAATTACGTGGAGGAGCCGGGCCGCGCGGCGCGCGGGGCCGCTCACTTTGATTAAGCGTCTTGCCAGCGCGATGTGACAGAGCTTTTGACCAGGGTTTTATTCACAGGCCTGTGATGAACGCCAAGCTGATCAGGCGGAATGAAGAGTAATTAAAACCTATAAATTATCTTCCGCAGCCCTTCTCGAGGCGTCTCCTGCAGGCGAGATAAGGCGTCGAGACCCTATTTACGGCGCTGAAAGGGACCGCGGCGCACAAAAGCTACGCGGCTAAATAGGATATTGATAGTGTCCTAATTAGAATTTAATTAAGTACCCACGCTCGCTTGCGGGATAAAGATTTCAATTTTGCGAACTTAAATATAAATAAAATCCCACCCCCATTTCGGAAAGAAGGGGTAGGGGCACTTGGAAATTTCGGGGAGCTCTTGGATGTGAGACTGAAGGGGACCCTGGAGACTCCAAGGTGGGGATGGGGACGGCTGGGGAAAGTTTAGGAGGCCGCGGTGGGTCTGCCCAACTCAGCGCTCGGGGGAGAGGTTCTGGATACTAGGCCGCCCCGCCGGGGAGGTTTAGCCAGGAACTCAGCCTCTGAAATCAGGGGACCCTCGGCTGACCCCAAGATGCAGCCAGCAATACAAGATGCAGCCAGGAATTCCCGCTCTCCTGCAACCCCTTGGAGAAACTTCAGATATTGCAGTAGTTTGGCTTGTTGTTTTTAGTTATATGTTTCTCCTAATCTTTCTATGACTTCTCTGGAAAACTAGGGGAAGGTCGTCCCCCCTCGCCTCCACCCACTTGTCCCAGATAGATACTATCCCTAAAGAGATCACTGAGAATGGCGCTCAGGAAGAGCAGGACTACCGGAGTTCCAAGATGACATGTCCGTGAAGGCCTCGTCTGCTGGAACCTTTCTCGGACACTGCAGACTTCAGGAGACAGTCGAACCCAGGCCCTCCAAAAGAGCTCCACAGGCAACCCCCCACCCAGTGTCCAGCGCACCACGCCCCCAAGTATCCCTGGTGTGGAAAACTTGTGAGGTGCTTTGCCAAGGAAATAACGAAAAAGAACTCTCGCAGACCTGAACGTGGGGGCTGCTGGAGACGGGCCGTAGTCCCCCAAAGATAGAGAAGAATTCGCAGGGTTACAGTCGAAGGCGCCCAGGGAGTTGGGAGCAATCCTAGGACATTCAATTGCCCCGAAACTGAGGGAAACTCATTGTCCGCAAAGTCGGCTGGCCAGGGCAAACACTTGGGGCGCGGTGCTTTTATTTGTTTGATTTTACTTTGCTGGGAAATCTAACACGGAGGTTTTTCCTGAACTGGAAATCCAGGCCTCGAGTGCATTCGCGGTCTGACTTGCCCTGCCCAGTGCCCTCTTTTGGACGACTCTACCATGCTGGGGCAACTCTGACTCCTGGAGCCAGGGAATGAACAGGCAGCGGGTGCTGGGTCTCTTCTGTGCCCTCTGGGCCTGGCTCCATGGCGCCAGGGCCGCTCCCGGGTGTTGTCGAAGGTCCGGAGGGAAGGGCATGGGTGCGGATTCCCCAGAAAGGAAATGCAGAATAGCCGGCTGGCGTGAGACTTACAAACTGGCAGTGCAAGCTAGCGCAGCAGGCCTCCCGGGATTGCTCTTCGTGAAAAATAAACTTGAGCCTTTGAAAGTAGCCAATTCTAGGTCTATTTCACATCACGGACCTCCTGATCTTACTCCTCCCCCAACACACACACACACAGACACACACACACAAACACTCTCACACACCCAGTTACAACAAGCTTTCTCCCTTCATAACGCAAAGGGGGGGAGGAGGGAAGGAAGGAGTGAGAAAGGGAAAGAGAAATGCTTTCTTAGGCATGGGGGGTGCAGAAGGACCCAGACCCCTGCCTCCTGACCCCGTGCGCGGCGCGCACGCACCCATAATCCTGCATTTCTCCAACAAGTTGTTTATGGAGTTGCTTCTCTATTTGCCTACACCCCGAAATCCACCCCTCCCCTGCCTCTTTAGCCCCCTCCTCAGTCTGGGCCTCAAGAAGGGGGAGGGGCGCGGGCGCGAGTTGGGGAGGGCGGGCCGGACGCACCGGGCCCGAGTGGCGGCACCCCCTCTCCGCCCGATGCCGCCGCCCCCGGATTATTTATCCGCAAAGTCCCGCGCGCGCCCATTGGGCCAAGCCCCGAGTGTCAGCGCGAGTCGTGGCTCGCTATTGGCCCCGCACACGTGCGGCCCTGACTCACGTGCTTCCGGTTTGAAGGCAAAAAGTGTGCCTGGGTGATTTTTTTTTAAGCGAGAGAGTTTGTGCAAAGATCCGAGCTGTCAGAGATTTGAGGGAAAAAAAAAAAAAAAAGGCAGCCCGGCGCTGGCGGAGACGCGCTCTCCCTGCAAAAAAAGCAAAGGCGATTAAAGGCGCTGCCAGCCTCGCGCTCTGGGCACAGCTGAGCGTGACACTCGGGGAAGTCAAACCCCTCACTACTGCCTAGGAAGATGGCTAGACTTTAAAGACTATTTTTTTTTTCCCTTTAAGAAAAAAGAATCTTAGAGGTTTTCTTCTTCTTTTTTTCTTCTGTTCTTTTTTCATTTTTTTTCTTTCCTTTTGGCCGTGGCTTACTCCCCATTTAAAACAAATCATTGAATCTGGTTGCAGAAAGGAAAAGAAATAGCCAAGTGTCTACATTATCTGGATGTCTACAAATTAGAGAGAGGGAGAGACAGCGAGATCTATCTGCTCGATAAGAGCAAGCGATCCAGGCCAGACGCCTGGGCTTTTTTTCCTGCACCCGCCCCGAGCCTTCGCTGAGGCTTCGCCTGCCTCCTTCCTCGGCGCACCCCCACGGGCCGCTGGCAAAGTGGGGTGGGGAGCGAGGCGGGGGGGGCGGGGGCCGGCGCGGCGGCCGGGGCGGCGGGGCGGCCGAGCATGGAAGAACAGCAGCCGGAACCTAAAAGTCAGCGCGACTCGGGCCTCGGCGCGGCGGCGGCGGCGGCGGCCCCGGGCGGCCTCAGCCTGAGCCTCAGTCCCGGCGCCAGCGGCAGTAGCGGCAGCGATGGAGACAGCGTGCCCGTATCCCCGCAGCCCGCGCCCCCCTCGCCGCCCGCCGCGCCCTGCCTGCCGCCCCTGGCCCACCACCCGCACCTCCCCCCGCACCCCCCGCCCCCGCCGCCGCCGCCGCCGCAGCATCTCGCGGCGCCTGCTCACCAGCCGCAGCCCGGGGCCCAGCTGCACCGCACTACCAACTTTTTCATCGACAACATCCTGAGGCCGGATTTCGGCTGCAAAAAAGAGCAGCCGCCGCCGCAGCTCCTGGTGGCGGCGGCGGCGGCGGCCGGAGGAAGCGCAGGAGGAGGAGGCCGGGTCGAGCGTGACAGAGGCCAGACTGGCACAGGTAGAGACCCTGTCCACCCGTTGGGCACGCGGGCGCCGGGCGCCGCCTCGCTCCTATGCGCCGCGGACGCGAACTGTGGCCCACCCGACGGCTCCCAGCCCGCCAACACCGCCGGCGCGGGCGCGTCCAAAGCCGGGAACCCGGCTGCGGCGGCGGCGGCGGCGGCGGCGGCGGCAGCGGCCGTGGCAGCGGCGGCGGCAGCAGCAGCAGCCGCCAAGCCCTCGGACAGCGGCGGCGGCGGCAGTGGAAGCGGCGCGGGGAGTCCTGGCGCACAGAGCGCGAAGTACCCGGAGCACGGCAACCCTGCCATCCTACTTATGGGCTCAGCCAACGGTGGGCCCGTGGTCAAAACTGACTCACAGCAGCCCCTCGTCTGGCCCGCCTGGGTCTACTGCACTCGCTACTCGGATCGTCCGTCTTCTGGTGAGTACCCAAACCGGGGCTTCGCTGTGCCTTCCGGTCCCGCCGGTCGCCCCCAGAACCACAAGCCGCCGCGCTGGGGAGAACAAACCCAGCTTCAGGCGCTCTCCTCTCGCAAGCCCGATTCCTCCTCCTTACCCCGGTGCCAGCCACATCCGAATGTGTCCACATCTGTGATCCTGGCCTCTGAGTCCACCACCCGGGAAACTACAGTTCCTGGCATGGGAGGTCTGGATCCTTTGATTTTTGAACTCTGAGCCCCTGGGGCCTTCTTTTGTGTTTTACCTTTATTATTCTTAAGAAAGATGTACAATTAGTCATTGATTTTTTTCTTACAAGGAAAGGAGTGTTTAGAGCTAGCGGGAAGACAGGCCTAGTGATTTGGGTCTGATTTCCACCAGTCTGGTCCGGTAGAGGAAGGCTTTGACTGGGGAACGCTTTGGCCAGAGAAATAATATTCGCTGCCTGTTCTTACAGACAAAAACATAATCTCGATATATTCTGCAGAGAGTCCATTTACATAGATGGAGACAGATATGGGGAAACACAGGAAGGGAGAAGAAGACATTGCACGCCATCCTCCTCTTTCAGTCAGGTTGCAAAAGAGTCGGATCCGGGTGGGTAGAATCCAGTGAAAGGCAGTTATCAGGAAGGTGCTCTCGGGGCCTCGGGTTCTTTGGGAGCTGACAGACAGTGGGAAAGGAGAGAAAGCAGGTCCGGCTCAGGCTTGAAAGCAGGGCGAAGGACAGGAGAGCCGGCCTCTCCAGCAGTTTCTCCGCGGCCTTGCGTTTTCCTTCTTTCATTCCGTCCTTCTGAACATCTGCCATTTAGCAGATTTAGGCCAGCCACGAGCTGGAGCTGGTTTTTCTGGGCTCTTCTTCCACTCTTGTTCGGTGTCCCCTTGCGTTTGGCCAGCTCAAGGCCAAGACCTGCCCTGGGACAGAAGCTGGGCCCCGGAAAGGAGACCAAGGCCTGCCAGACACACTGGGCCCGGCAGCGCCTTGGAGACCAGTGGGGGCCACTAAGAGAATAGTAGGGGCTCTGGCCCATGATCAGGATTTTAGGAACCCGGGGTCTGCCAGGGGGCCAGATACAGCCTAGCTACGTTCTTTTCTGGCTGGTCTCTTGCCGCGGTACTACCGCCGGCCAGGCGCGGATCGATGAGCGCTATCAGCCCCCGCCATCTCGAGCCCCGTTATTGACACGTCGGGCTCCCTGAACCTCCGAAAAGCTGCTTTGATTGACTCGCCTGATGGATAGAGTGATTGAGCTGTCAGGCTGTGTGGCTTGGTCTGGCCGGGAGGCTACGATTTTATTACAAGTGTCCGTGCCTCTGCGCACACACACATACACAACACTCCAACATGCCCCAGACGCACCGCGCGCAGTGGGGCCTTTCTGGGGATGTACACGTTTCCTGGGCCATCTCTGCCCGCTCAGCTAATTACTAATCTAAACCCCAGTCCTGCTCTGGAGGGGGCCTTGTCTTTGTTTGTGATGGCTTTCCTTCTCATGGGCCTGGACAGGTAGAGGACCTGATCTTTCTCCTGTCTGGGCAGTTCAGGGGGATGATCCCCAAGCTAGACCTGAGTCACTACAGTCTGCTTAGGCCTGAACTCTTTGTCATAGGACAGCTGGTGATCCCAGACAGTAGCCTGCCCCACGAGCCAGCTGCCCATCTTACCCCTCTGTCGCTATGTTTGGAGATGCTGGCAAAGACCCTTCTTTCCTGACAGTTTTAGAGAGTAACAGGCCTGACAGGGACTTAACTTGTATGCTCCTGTAACCAAGACAGGGCCCAGCAAGTCCATGCCAGGAGACCTGGACACAGAAGTCACAGGACACAGGTGTAGGCTATCCAGGGACAGACCAGAAGATTCAACTTCTGGGTCTCCTTCCATTCTCCAGGGCTGGACACCATAGCAGCCCTCTTTTCAGACTGTCATTGGAGGGAGACTTTACTTTTCTGGGAGTTTTCCTTCATGGGCTTCTTACCACCAAGTCATAGAGCAGATTGCTCTAAAGATTGTCTGTCACCATCTTTCTGCCCCTGTTTTGCTCATGGACTGGGAAATGGATATGATCTCCTTTGCAAATGGCATCCATGGGCAGAGAAAGCGAGTCTGGCCTATTTCTGTTATTCAGGAGTTTTTGATCCTAAAATTGCAGTATGCGGGTTCGAAGAAGAGAGGAAGGGACCTTCCTGTGTAGCTGGGTGGAGGAATGGAAAGGGCTCTCTTTTTCTTGTTGGTATTATCCAAGAAGCAAAACAGAGTACCCCCTCCCATGAAGGGCCTCTGCAGTTGAGTGAAGGCCTCTTCTTTCCCTTCAGAGGGAAAGGAGCAGTCAGTGTCTCCCACCTGCCCTAGAAAGTGTTTCTTTTAGGCCATAGAGAAAGAAGAGGAGGCACAGAACAGACATCAAGTTCTTTGGAGCTGGGAAACCTTCTCACAGCCTCTTCCCTGTCCCCTTATTCTCCGGTCAATGGCTACAAGCGCGCATTGTCTCATTATAGGTGCCTCCATGTATGTAACTTGTTTAGAAAGAAAGGAAGATGAGTTTGCAGGCCGGTCATCCCCCACCAGAGCCTGTCCTTACTGCCCCAATCCTTTTAACTCCAGGGCTGAGAAAATAGTAGGCCTCTGACCTCCAACTGTGGCTAGGCAGTATGGGGCTTCAAATCTCTATCTTGGATTCCTGCCTTCTTGGCCAGGAAGTGCTGTGATTTAAGCCTGTCCCCGGATTCTTCTGTTCTGAATTAGGATGTGGGGTGCACCTACAACCTGGGCTAGTTTTCCTCCCTGGCACTTTTGCACCATTCCCCAGAAAGGTACCCATAGACCTGAGTGGTTCAGCAAAGGGCTCTTCGATGGAGGGATTGGCCAGGCGGGAGGGAGCTGGTGATCCAGCAGGGCCTCCGGATCACCCCGGAAGCACGGGGCTAGATCCCGGCTGGGCTCTGCCATTCTCACGGCTTCCTCTGCCCTCTCCCCCCCTCCCCTCTGCCCTTCGTCCCCACCCCCACCCGGCCCTCTCCGCCGCTGCAGGTCCGCGCACCAGGAAGCTGAAGAAGAAGAAGAACGAGAAGGAGGACAAGCGGCCGCGGACGGCCTTCACGGCGGAGCAGCTGCAGAGACTCAAGGCGGAGTTCCAGGCGAACCGCTACATCACGGAGCAGCGGCGGCAGACCCTGGCCCAGGAGCTCAGCCTCAACGAGTCCCAGATCAAGATCTGGTTCCAGAACAAGCGTGCCAAGATCAAGAAAGCCACAGGCATTAAGAACGGCCTGGCGCTGCACCTCATGGCCCAGGGACTGTACAACCACTCGACCACCACGGTCCAGGACAAAGACGAGAGCGAGTAGCTGCGGCCGGCCGGGGCCGCGCGGTTCGGGCCGCCGCGCCCCGCGCCCCCTCCTGGCACCGCCGCCTCTGCCTCGCGGGCCCAGCGCCTGGGGAGAAATGATCAGCGCAAAGGAGGGAGGGAGCAACAGGGAAGAGAGACCGAGAGAGACAGACAGACAGAGAGAGATCCTCAGAGTGGACAGCCACGTTTGAACGAAAAACATTTTTGAAAAGGGAGAAAGACTCGGACAGGTGCTATCGAAAAAAAAATATGATCTATTCTCTATTCACAGTATAAGGGACGAAACTGCGAACTCCTTAAAGCTCTATCTAGCCAAACCGCTTACGACCTTGTATATATTTAATTTCAGGTAAGGAAAACAAATGTGTAGCGATCTCTATTTGCTGGACATTTTTATTAATCTCCTTTATTATTATTGTTATAATTATTATAATTATTATAATTATTTTATCCCCCCCCCTCTCCCGCCTCGCTGTCCCCCGGCCCCAGTTTCGTTTTCTTTTGAATGTTTTTTTTTTTTTTTTTTTTTTTGCTGCCCAATACCTCCCGCCCCGCATCGCTGGCCCTCGTTTCTCTGGGACTTTTCTTTGTGTGCGTGAGAGTGTGTTTCCTCGCGTGTCTGCCCTTCGCCTCCCCCGCCCCCCACCTCCCAGGACCCTTCTGTCCGTCTGTCTGTCCTGCCCCCCCCCCCTTATGTTTGCCGGAGACTCATTGAGAAATACGACCCCCACAGACTGCGAGACTGAACCGCCGCTACAAGCCAAAGATTTTATTATGTTCAGAAACCTGTAGTCTGAAATAAAGTGTACACTGTGCTCACGAGCCCCTGGCGGCCCTCCTCTTTGCGGGCTCGGGAAAGGCGTGGGCCCCCGGGCACGCAGCTGCCCCGGCGGGCGCCACCGCGTGCACTCCAGGGGTAGAGCTCCGGCGTCGCCGGCCAGGCCTTGCAATCTCCGCGCAACGAATGCGGGGGTCAAAGGAGGAGTGCGATGGAAGAATCGGCTCGGATTTGGGTTTGGCCCTGCGATCAAGGGAACCCAAAGGCTAAAAGCCGAGCCCACGCTCGGGAAACACGGTCTGGGGTGCGGGGCTGCTGGCTATGTCTGCGGCCCAGCCGGCTGTGGCCTCCGGTTCAACCTGCTCCTTGTGCCAGCCTGTACCTTTTCTTTTCCAGTTTCTTTCTCTCTCTCTTTTCTTTATTATTATTATTTAAAAAATCTTCTCCCCTTTCCCCGATGGGTTTTTGCTAGAGATTTTTTTTTTTTTTTCCTCCAAAGGCAGAAGGCCTTCCCAGGGCAGGCAGAGATGGGGGCTGCCTCTCAAGCTGAGCGACCTGTTTGGGAGAGGGATGCTTCTGCTGGTCCTCTCTGCAACCTGGACTTTGTCCCTCTTCGTTTGGGGGAGTGATCCCGCTTACAAGCGGTGGGTCTGGGGTTGGGTAGCACAGGGAGAATCGGTGGGCTTGGATCCTAAGGTCCCACAAAGCGGGCTGGGGGCGGTGCGTGGGAGGGTGGGGAAGGAGGCCCGAATGCTGGGAAAGCCATGAGGGATGGCCACCGCTGGCCCTACGCTGGGCCTTGAACCCAGGTCTGCCTAGTCCTCACACTAAACCTTACTTCTTCACTGATGGGGGCGCACTGTATACAAGCCCCCAGTTCCATCAGGACCCCTGGATATCCCAGAGAGAAATATCTGTATTCTTGCCATTGAACCTGGGTCCAGTCCTTCCAGGATAGGCATTGCTCCGATCACAACACACACATTTAAGACTTAGTAGGAGGAGAGGGAGGTCCCTCCTTAGAAGGTATTATCTCTCCTTTGTCCAGTTTTTTTTTAAATTATTATTATTATCATCGTGAATTCTGCTTTGGTCTTTTTTTCCCCTCTTGTGCAATATGTATGCATGTGCCTGAATACATGTATGTAGGTGAGTAGGTAGATAGCTGTCCATACCCTTGTGTGCACATGTAATGTGCAGATATTGGTATATCTAAGTTCCTATCAGTTTCATCTGTATTACTATTTGTGTGCATATTGTATAACTGGGTGTTTATTTCTCTGTGATTAGATGCATAATTGGGCATTTGTGAATTCACAGTGTGTGTAATGCACTCATTTGTGTTTGCAAGTTTGGGATGTGTTTTGCTGGTGTGTTTTTTGAGGTTTGTGCATGTGTGGGAACCCTGTTCTCTGTGCTGTCTTCCCTTGGGTTTATTTTCTGTTGTTTTTGCAGAATTGATTTTGTGGGAAATGAGAATAGCCAATCATTCCACCTTTTTTTTTTCTTGAAAAATTCCATTTATTTAGTCCAATGTCCATCTAACTCCTGGCCAGAGAAATGACAGTGCTAGGTCCCATACCCAGGAAGACAAGACTCCCTCCAAATCCTTGCAAAGGATTTAGGAACTTGGGGCTTGGTGGCCAGGAGTGGAGTTGGGGTGAGCATTTGACATTGTGATGGGTCCCCAATTTTATAATAGTGTTTTCCTTCCTTTCACCTCACCATTGTTGTCTTAAATAACTCCTGCACATAATAGGTGCCCTTTCTGGTGGCTGGAAGCATATGCTTTGCTTTCTTTGGGGGCTGGGGTTCAGTGTACCTATCCTCTAACCCAGGACTTTGGGATGATTTTGGTGCTGTCTTCTCTCTGGGCATATCCTGGTGTGGTAGGGGCACTCAGCTCAACAGATAACCTTATCATATTGAATGTCTGGGAACTGGTCTGCCCTCCTTTCTCTTCCCCACTGTGGCCCATTAGGTTGCCTAAGCCCCCCATGACCACCAAGTTCAGGGCTGGGACAGAGATGACACAGAGACAATGTGAGCAGCAACTTCAGGAAACATCCCATTCTTTGAGTTTCCTTTTCATCTCTTTCAAGAGATCAAAGCCAAGAGCTCTTCCTCAACCCCAAGAACCCAGTGGGATAGGAGGAGGTGGGTTACCCTACCCCATGATTATGTTAGTATAGCTTATGGTCCGGAGTGTCATTATCATGTAATTTGATTTCTTGCCCATTATCTCCTTTTATCTTCCAATCGCTGTGGACATTTTCTTCCTCGTTCAGTGGAAGAAACTGAAGCTCTCAGGACTCGCATGTCTCCTTGTGCCTGTGCCTCTTTAAGTCACTTATACCACAATAGTCTGCCCAAGGCTCTAAAGTCACCACCCAGAATGACTTTCCTATATTCTTGCCCTCCCCCTTTTCAAATGTTCCTTTTCCCTGGTTAGGGTAGAGAAGTGGGGGAGGACTCTGGTCAGACCTTTTTCTTGCACCCCATTTCAAAAAAAGCGAAAGTAATAATGATCATAAACGGGCATTGATTTCTCTGATTTATGGGCTGGCTTAGGGAACCGCCTGTGTATTAAAGTCTGGGGCTGCATGGAGATAAATACTTGAGCACACCATTCCAACTTCCTCATTTTCTGCCTTTCCTTTTTATTTTTTTTACCCCCCTTAAAGATTGGATTGAACCATAAACTTAAATCTTCCTCAACCTAAGAGGAAATACATGCTAGCCGAGTCTAAACAGTATCGATCCCGGGCTCTTTCTGAGGGCAAAGGTCTCTGTTTTCTCCCTGGAAACTCCTTCTCCTTCAGTAGGGTGTGTATGGGTGAAGCAGGGGATGTGGATGTGGATGGGGGAAGGAGAAAGTGATGTAGAAGGAGAGGGTATTTTGGTATTTGGGTGTATGTGACTGCTTCTTAAGTCTGTGTGTGCTCATGTGTTCATAGAGTGGACCATGTGGGGGCAGTTTATATAGGGGTGGTATTGATGTATTATTTATTTAGGTGTGGGAGGTGGCAGTGTGTGCCTCGGGTATGTGGATCCTGACCAATGGTGATTGGTGTTTTGTGGGTGTGTGTATGTGCACCCAGGTTGGAGACCCCATAGATGAAGCTGCCCAGAGACCAATGGCTATTCTGCCTTCTCCCTGGCCACCACAGCCCTGTCTGTTATCCATGGCAGGTCTTCCAGAGATGAAACCACCTGGGCAGTCTCTGTGCTCCCTTTCCCCACTGCCCTCCGTGAAAGTGGCCTGTCCATCTTTTCATGCAGATCAAGGTGTCTGCTGTGGCTTCTCGGGTGACCATCAATTCCTCCAGGGTTTCTTTTTGTGCTCAAGAAAAGCCATTCCTTTGGCAATAGAGGCAGCACACTCCCCTGCTCCCACCATGCAGGTACAGCCCGAACAGGGCAAGTGGGCAAGAGGGGCAGGGAGGCCATCCAACCAGCAGTCCTCCCCTGGTTTTGCCACACAGCCTGGGCCCACTTAAGCTAGATGTCACTGTGCATTCAAACTGAAGCCTGTGTTCACCCGCGCCTGGGGGAGAAGGGCACTGTATCTTTCCATCCCTCTTAGCTCCACTAGAGGCTCCAGCCATCTCCTCCCACTCTGGGCTCAGATGAGGGTATTGCTCTTACATGGTGACTTGTAGAAAGAGGGATGGCTGGGGACTCGGCAGGCCCCCACCTTACCATCCCCAAATGTATTAGACCAGAGGTTTAATGCAATCCCAGTGTTGGAGCATCCTTGTCCTCAGGGGAATTCCTGAATAAAAAGGTTTCATTTTATGGGCTGGGAAAAAACTCTGAGAGGGAAAGTGTCTCATTCAAAAAAGCACACAGCATATGAGAAGCAAAAGCCCTCAGACTCCCTACCAGTCCAGGGCTATCAAGTGGGCATGACATATATATGAAGAGACTTCCACCCGTACAAATGCACAAGCATGCACACACCCATAGGCACACGTGTGCACAGGGAAAATGTGTATATCTGCAAATACAAATGGGCTCATGGTCAGAGGTGTGTTCACAGCACACATACATGGGCCAGGAACGTGTACACTGGTGTCCCATACCTGTATAGCCCAATTGGTGTGCTTTCATTCCTGGCCAAAGGAGGGGGCAGGGCCTCATTCCCAGGGCCCAGGACAAACTGGTCTATCCCCTCCTCTCCACAGAGGACACCAGAGAGAACTGGGGCTGAGGCAGGT